TGGTCGAGAATTTATTTTATCTCGTCAGAATGCATTTCACACAAAGTTTATCTATGTAAGAATATTTATATATTTATATATGGATTATGGTGTCGTTTTTAAACATTTCTAGTTGATTTTATTTTTATTCATCAACGTCATACTTTCATTATAATTCGTCTCTAAATAATAAAAATAGATATTTTAAAATATCAATTATTGATGATTAAGGAAATGAAAAGTATAGGTACATTGTATGTGCATAATTATTTATGCATTTTATTATATCTATTTTAAATGATGATATTTAGTTTTTGTTTTTTGATATACATATTACGTCTTCTTTTTATTTTATTGTTATTTATTATCTTGCACTTTAATTTATTCTATTTTATTTCTTTTTCTTTTTCTTTTAAATAAAATAGAATCTCATTGGTGATGTATTTGTATCCATTCACGTATTAAATTGTTAAATTTATAGCAGAAAATATTGTCGGATGAGAATAATGGGAGAGGAAAGGGGAATTGCTCCTCGACAGAATTTATTATACTCAATGGTCGAAAATTGTGTTGTTCGATTTGCACGGCAAAAATTGAATCGTGCTGACTGTCAACGAACATATACATATATACGTATATATTTGATATTTGATCGTAAGTTGAATATAAATATATTTTACAAAGCAGAAAAAAATATTTTAGAGTATCGGTACTCTTGGCAACGGAAATGCAATTGCAGCGGTCGTTTCGATATTTATCGAGAATTGGAATTCAACGTTATATGAGCCACTCGTTTGAGTAATGTTTTATGTATGTGTGTATGTATGTATACGTTCATTCGCAGAAGAATGTTATTCGTATGATATTTAAAAACATGACACAGCAGCATACATATAAGAATATACATATATACAGGTATCGTCGTCCATCAATTACATGATATAGCATGCAAATGTGTATATATATATATTCGTTTATTTTGAAAGTGGTGTAAGTCCACTTTCTCTTGTTTTGAGAAAATTAAAGGTTAGCATATCTGATAATAAAAAAATTTAGGCAAATTATATGAAGTCTGGCAATGTTACTACTGATTTATCAATATGTAATTTTGTTATGGAAATTTGTTTTAGGCGAATTTGACTAAACTAATGTTCATTTACGGGATGCAAAATGACTAACACCACTTTCAAAATGAAACAATTGTAAAAGTCGTTGAATTTCAATTTTGAAAAATCAAATTCATTTAAAATATACTTTATATTAATCCAATTTTGTTTACAAATAATGACAAGATATAAAATAGAAGTATTTTTTTTTAATTTTAAACACTAATTACATTGTTAAAATTGTAAGATTTTATTTAAATGGACTTACACCACTTTCAAAATAAACGATCCATATATACGTATAACTAAAATTTGAAAAATTTAAGGTTTTTTTCAAAAAACGAAATTTCTTATAGAATTTAACTTGAAATATATTTTTTTTAACCCTTTCGCTTCGGCTGTCCAGTTTGCCGAAGTACTGTCACTGAACGGAGGCGCGCTCCGCGAATACGTCCAGTATGCGTTGTTGCTGTATATATGTTTTCCTGAGTCTTAAATTACTATTGTGCTGAATAAAACAATCTTTGCTACAATATAATGAGTATAATTTACATTGTTGATATGAAAACATTTATAATTTATAAACATATATAACTAACATTTATAACTTACAAAGCTACAGGTAATATTTTTATTATGTGCACGCTGCTTATAAGCGGCGCTCGTACCCACAGGTTGTATTGTACACGCCTCTTATAAGCGGCGTTCGAAGCGAAAGGGTTAAAGTACATTTAAAAACAAAAAATTTAAAAAAACGTCCCGATAAATCTATTTTTGACAAAGTTATGGCTATTTGAAAAAACAATGGAACGAAAAGTCTGAATTTTTGAAAAATTCATAACATTTTTTGGGTTGGGCAAAAACATTTGTAAAAAATCTGTAAAAAATCTGAAAAAAGTTTTTTAATGAAGTTAAAAATGATAAAAAAGTTTCAGCAAAATCGAAAGGGATCGGGATCAAAAGTGGTCGACTTGACATGGAAAGAAGCCCCATATATATATATAATTCTCGTATCACAGTGTTAGTAGCCAAACTCCTTTGAAACGACTTGACCGATTTTTATGAAATTTTGTGCGTATATTCGGTAGGTCTGAAAATAAAACGTAAAATATTTTTTATACCCTTAAGTGATAAGGGTGGTTCACCCCACAATTTTTTTTTATTGTTTGGACAAAATTTTTTATTTTTTTATGATTTGGCATTAAAAAATACATACAACCCTAAATTTTCACCCTTCTACAACTAACCCCCATTTGTTAATAGCGATATTAGTACTTTAATAATTTTCAACCCTTGGTGATCGATAACTTGATTGTTTTTTTTTTTATTGTTATAATTAGTGATAGATATATAATTATAAATATATTAATTAAGATAATAAAGTACAATGAATTAAAAAAAATGGATGTTTGGTGTTTTGTTATTTTTATAGGTTATCATCGTTCACAGCGCTCCATTCCTCTTTCAAGCATAGACCATATCCCCACACACTTACAATAAGTTACTTATTTTTTATTTGACTACCAAAATATTCACTAGAAATAATTTATATGGCAAAACAACGTTTGCCGGGTCAGCTATATATATATTTTTTATAACACGTTGAGCGCTACGCTCATTTTTAAGGAAGTCCCCGTTATGCCACGCGCGCTGTTTAGAAATATGTTATACGCTGTCAGCCAGCGGTGACTGACGCGGCCCAAATGAAAAGTCTAATGTGGCGCTCAACGTGTTAAGTACCCTAAGTTATTTATTTAAATATTTATTTATTAATAGCCATTCTTACTCAAAGGCTTAAAAATTAATACAAAGGATGATATACATATATATACATATATATCAATTTAAAAGTTTACTAATCCTAAAATAGGTTTATGCCTATAAGAATTTTGAAGCTTTGCATTACAATCAGATATCAATTATTGAAAATTATCAGTTTTACGAATATGCAAGCTGTGCCCCGCCACGCGTTGCTGTGGCTCAGTCTGATTAAATAGAAAAGAGAAAAAAGAGAAAGCATAAGCTTCTAAAATGTTACACCTCTCTCCTCCGAGACGAACTCGATTTCCGTCCTTACGATCCTACGTGGGAACCTCAATCTTTTCCTAGACGAAAAGACGTATAAACGGCATTTTCCATGTAGAAGATAATCTACCTTGCCTCCTCACTTAGAAATATTCAATTCAATGGAAATCAAAATTGAACATAAATATTAAAAAAACAGACTAAGCCAAAATATGATACTGTCGTATAGATAAAGGTTAGGTTATGTTCAAATGTTCCGCGCATTCACGAAAATCGATGCCCAACAGATGACGCTAGACTTACCTGTATCTTTTCTTTTTTTAATTGATAAATTTTTTTATAAACAAATTAATGTAATAAGAGCATACCTGTATGCGAATGCAACGTTGCGTAAAAATTTCAAAACAATCAATAAAGTACTTTTGTAGATTAGCGGTTAGAAACAAACGAAATCTACATTTATATACAGGATGATCGGTAACTAGTGGTACAAGTGACAAGGGGGTGATTCTTCATGAAAAAATAAATCGAAAATATAGAATAAAAATTTTTCGTTTGAAGCTTTGTTTTCGAGAAAATCGACTTTGAATTTTCGCAAAGTACGCGTGCACTTGATCATGTCTCGTTATAACGGATCTCGCTGTACATATCCGTATGTAGATAGTATATAGAACTGGGAAAAAACAGTTAGATCATTATAGTCGTTTTGAAAAGGTTATTGATAATTATTAACCAAAATTCTTTTCGTTCGTAATCTTGTAAAGACTAATACTAACATGTTCTCAAAACAAATTTTTTCTTCTATCAAATAAATCTTTGCTTTTTAATTTTTTTTTATTATAAAACGCGATCAATAAACAACTAATGAATCAATGAGTATTTATCTACATTTTTTATTTTATTTTCTATCTTCGAAGTGAGTTGAATTATCATACATTTTGTCAACGAATTTATTAAAATCAAATTTAACAGTTTTAGTGACATGCAGCGCGATCGCTCTGTTTGCGTACTATGGTGAAAAATGCCGTGATGTTTGGTTATGATCGTCAATTCGCAATGCACTCGGTTCTAAATGTGGCGAATAAGTTGCGTGAATTGCGACGATATCAGGTATTTGGATAAATGAACGAAGCGCTATCGCGTTGCATGGTACAATCCGACACGGATTTTTAAAAACCTCTGAGACTAAAACGGTTAACCCCTTGCATTACACTGAAATTTGGAATAAGCAGCGCCCGAATGGTTGCGAAAAGAAACGAAGCAGCAGAGCCCGAGTGTCGAAACTTCAGTTTTCAAATGTTATCTGGATTACAAGAATGTATTCTAAGTAGCATTGGGAAACAAGATATGAAATACCCTTACTTATAAAAAAGAAAAGAAAAGAGATAAGATCTCATTCAACATTCATACTTTGCCGAGATTAAGAGCACGAGTACGACTCGTTATATTCATGTTTGATTCGAAACAATCGATTACGAGTCAGACTCATGATATTTAAGTCTGACCTAAAATTTTCATCACGAGTCAGACTCGTGAAAATAGTGCAAGGGGTTAATGTATTTTCTTTCCAAAACTTGGTCAATAAAATATTCACTGTTAATTATTTCATTAATTAACGCATTTCACAAATTAAGGCTTACATATATTATTTTTTATTTTTAATATTGTTATTCATATAAGTAATATAATTCAAATATTTTTAAAAATAGAGTTAAGCGCTTTAACACTAAACCTATAATGACCATGTATAATGACCGTGTCCTGTAATTTCTAAAAATGCAGTAAAAACGTATAAAAAATACATTATTCATTCTTAAGTAAAAAAGAATACTATTCAATTGGCTAAAATCTCATTCCATATTAAGATATATGTTTCTTTTTGTTTTAAAGGGGTCATTTACCGCTCCGGTAGGAATAGGTATGCACATGAAGAATATATACATGAAGCCGGTAGGTTAAATCTGTTAATACCTTATCTGTAAGTGCACTGATAAATTGTTAAACTAGACATATATTACATAATTAAAAATTAATTAATATTAATTACATTAATAAATTAATTGATATTAATATCTATTTTTTAGAAACATATATGTGGATTACGCCGTCCGCCACTTTTTTAGGTGATCCCTTTTGATTAGGCTTAAAATTTTATATGTTATTTAACCCGACAAAAGACGTATTTGTGATTTATTATAATCTCTTAGGCATGGCTGAATTTTGCGCGGGGCTGTTTCTCTGTACGGTGGGGTTTAGCGAGAATTACGTGTAAATGATAAAACTACGATGTATGACGAACAATAGCTGTTCTCTACACGAGTACATTTTAATGAAGTTTTTCAGGATTAAATTATAATTTATCTCAAAGAAATGATACACATATACTTTAATTCAGGCAATTTACTTTAATAATTGATAATAAAATTAGGTATAGTATATTTTAAAAGATTTTATCCGCAAGAACCACTATAGTAGCGCGCAGTGCCTAAAAGGTTAAATTTTAACTACCATTCTTTTCAAAAATATGAATGTTTTTCAAAATTTGAGATTTTTTGTTTTAAATGCTCTTTACAAAAAAAAATTGTAAATTCCAGAAACAATGGAAAGTATCATTTTCCCACAACGCATGGTAGTGCGTTCCCGAAAACGTGTAAAAGATTAAAAAAAAAAAATTATTTGGGAGAGGGGGTTACTTTTAACCCGTGGAATATATTTAATAAGTTGAGCGCCACGTCCGCCACTGGTGGTGGACACTCGATATTCCGTCAGGCCGCGTCAGTCGCTGCTGGCTGACAGCGTATAACAACATGATATTTCTAAGTGGCGCGCGTGGCCTGACGGGAATTCCTTAAAAATGAGCGTGGCTTAAAGGGAATTTCCTTGAAAATGAGCGTGGCCCTCAACGTGTCAACAGACTCTGCAGCATCTTCATCAACCATTTATTATGGATAAGTGCTTATGCATATCTGTAAATTATCAGTTGAAATGTGAGCGTCTAGCGCATCGCAATCGTGATTCACTGCGCTTCAAAAGTTACTGTCTTAAAATGCAATTAATATTAGTCCGATTTCAACATATAAATATGGAATCTTTCTTTGAAAGTATATATAATTAAATTATATTTTTGAAAATTTACAAAAATGATAAATGTAGTTACTAATGGATAGTATAATGCAACGTGTTTATTGCCGATGCAGTATTAGAAATATTTACTTTAAAAAGCTATAAGTCAAATGCCCAGCAGTGCTCTGTACTATAATTAGTCTTATATGTTTATTGAACCTTTATCTAATAAATGACATAAAAATTAGTTGCTCTAAGCTGCTCTTTTAGCTTTTATCCAGGATTTTGTACAATAATGCACAACTGAACTTGAAAAGATCTTACATTTTATATCCACTAGTTTATATAATTACAAATGAATATAATATAAGCTAATAAGTAGATAATTCTGAAAAAACCCCACTTAAGTTTATTTTTTGTAATCAAAATTATCTTTTATGAGTCCGTTATCATGTTTTTCAACAAAATAGTATCACATTCATAATCAGCGATCTCAAAACCCCCCAAATATTGATTTTAAAAGAAATCAATCACTTTTTAATGAAAATGTCAGCTATTTTAGTCCGTTTTGTTTCTTCAAAAAATAATACCAAATTCCTAATTAGCAACTTTGAACATATTTAAATTCTAATTTTCAAAAATATTTTCATATTCATCCTGCGTTTTCGAGATTTTTGACTATTATGCGAGGATCAGGCTTAAAATTTGTAACTTAGGAAGTAGTATTTTTGAGAATTTTGTTTTAAAAAATCGAATATGACACACATCTCGAAAAAAAACTTTAAAAATTTTTTTTAATATTTAAAAAAAGAAAAATCATGTGTGCAGATCACACGTGTTAGAAGTGAAACCTTCAAAAAACTAAGCTTCGAGAGAATGAGAAGAATGCACAGTTTCAAGAGTATAAGATAATTGTAGGATTTATTTATTATAATATTATTACCATATATATCAAAAGGCATCGGTATGATTTTTTATTTCGACTGTCGGTTCGTTTGTACCTTATTCTTAAGTCACCTACCTACACGCTTATCTCTGTTTATTCTTCTACCCTTCTATCGCTCCTACTTACAAACAGGTTTAGTATCGAAATTATATGAGTCCACGCTTCATAGTATACAGTCGCACACAAACGCACATGTACAACCAGAAGCGATAACTACGAAGCAGAGCATAAAGAGGAGACCGAGAATAGGAAAAACTGTATAGGTATATTCTATCTCATTCTCTCGCAGGCTCAATCCTATATGTTTGTCTCTTTTTATCTTCTTACTTAGTATTGTGGCCGTTTCATCGCCGCGCTACATCGCTCGGTTACACTGCAGCGCTGCATCGCCGCGTTTCATTTTTTTTTTCAAATCAACCCCATTCTAAAGAAGTTTTCACTTCAAAAATATTAAAAAATACTACTCCTTAAATAATAAAAACTACTCAAAAATACTGCTTCCTAAGTTACAAATTTTAAACCTTATCTGTTGCCTAATAGTCACAAATCTCGAAAACACAGGATGGATATGAAAATATTTTTGAAAATTAGAGTTTAAGTATATATATATACGTTCCCGAAAAGTACACGATCAAATAAAAAAGGGTTAAAAAGATACAAATTGAATAAAAATGATTCATTTGGTGGATTTTTCAAAAAGTTATAAATATTTAAAATAAAAATTCTCAATTTTTGAACAAAAATTCATATATATTAGAAAGTCAGGTCTTAAAATTTAAAAAAATCATGAATATATCTTTTGTTATGGTCAATAATACAAAATTTTCAGCTGATTCGAAAAGGATTACTTTAAAAAATGGCCGATTTGGTATGAAATGAGACCAATATACATATATTATTAATATTTCTATATTTATAAATATTAAAAAATATTTCTATATATCAAATGTAAAGCATCATAGAATTATTTTCTACATAAATACAACCCGACATATATATGGGGCATTCCACGCCAAATCAAACGGTTTTAAAAATTGTTATTTTCGATTTCCGCCATTTTTTGATATCTTTTAGTACCCATCGAAAAACCCTTCCTCCTAAATTTTGGCATTTTTTTGATTATCCGTTCCAAAGATATCGAATTTTCAAAAAACAGCTTTTTCTGTGGTTTTTAGCCCGTAACTTTTTTAAAACTCATCCAAATGAAAATTACCATTTTACATAAAAGTTTTGTTTTTCAATGTACTTTTCGAAAAAAAATTCAAAAAAATTATTTAAAGTGTCATAATACGTAATTTTCGATTTTTAAACTTTGAATTGCATTTTTTAAAGTGAGTGCATATTTTGCTTTTCTTCAAAATTTTGTACAGCAAACTACTACTAATTCCACAACTTTTTAGGCCGGTCTGGCCGTGGGCCTTCGATAACTATTATTTTGTTTCGATTTTTGAAAATTAAAAAAAAATTTTTTTTATTTTTTTTTTTTAAATTTTGTCATTTATTTCTCTCTTTTAATGTATTTTGAAACACTTTACATATTTTTTTTATTATAACACGCGTAGGAAAGTCTTAATTACTGATTAAGATTAATAATTAACAAAAATAAGAAAAGTCTTAATTTATTTTCGTGATTTTTTGAAAATTTTACATGTGCGATCATAAATAGAACTTGAATATTCCATTATCTTTTGGAAGAATACTATGCAATTTTTGGGTTCCGGTGATTGACTTCTCGTTATTGTATCTCATATCTAGCTTTATCTTTGCTTCTGTGTAATCTGATTCAGGTGAAAACCTTACAGCAATATTTGGTAGACTGTTTGATTCAGATGCCCATTCATGTAACTCATTAGTTGTTGTTATTTCTTTATCGATCGGTCGTTGAAGACTTACTAATGGAATAAGTAATAATAATATTATTAATATTTATTTCAAAGCAACAAATTAAAATACACAAAATTTACTTGTGGACATTTAGTGGTAAACACTAACAAAAGAGGTTATGATACAGATATAAAATCAATATGACTATTAATGAGAAAAAAGGGTAACAGTAAAAGGAAATAGAGACCCTATAGGAGGGACGCGCCATGTAGGTTGCAAGGCTGAAAATGTGGGGGGACAGCTTCCGTTGCATCGCGCAGCCATGTTTACCTTTAGTATGTATTAACGGCTGTGGTTAGTTTAAGTTTGGAATACTTATAGTTTTTATTGTGATATTTATGTCGAATTGTTTTGTTTTTTTTAGTAGTTTTCTATAAGTGTAAGTTTAATTTACTCATTTAATAATTACAAGTATAAATGTACAAACCTAACCTATAACTTATCGTTTATTTACAGACTTATTGCC